CACATTCGAACAGGTGTGAAATGCACACGAGTCGACAAGGACACGTCCAAGCTCGAGCCATGCACCCATGAGGAAGGCAGGACACTCGGATGATGATCCACGTGCTGATTGTTGTCGCTCAAGGATACACAAAATTTACAATTCGAACAGTGGACACTGATGTTGTAGTACTTGGCAGTGGCAGTAGTCAATCCCTACACATCGAAGAAATGTGGATCGCCTTTGGCACAGAAAGGCATTCCGGTACATCGGAGCCCATACCATTTCATCTAATCTCGGACAGCAAAAGTCATCGATTCTTCCACTATTCCACAGCTTCACTGGGTGTGAGACACTGTGTCATCATTCTCTGGGCGGCGGAAGAAGACTGCTGTGGACGTTAGGAACACGTTTGATCGACTTACAGTATCGCTTTTCCGTCTGGTCAAAAACCAGTGCTACCGGATCAGACGACCTGCAAACCATCCAGAGGTTCACAGTATTGCTGTATAGCAGAGCGTGTGGACTGGGCACTGTGAACGAGGCCAAGAACCATCTGTTCGCACTGGGATCCAGATCATTGGAAAACATCCCCCCAACAGAGGCATCACTCTTGCAACATTGCAAACGAGCCGTTTATCAAGGTGACCACATATGGGGTCAAACACTCCAGCTCGCGACCCTGTGCTTCCCAGTCCACTGGAATGGGGATGGAAGATGGCAGCAGCTAGATGGCATTCGTACTGGACGACACTACCGGAGGCATCAAAGGCTGTCACGAGCTTATATCCGATGTGGGTGCAAAATAACTTGTAGAGGCGTTTGCAAGTGCAAGAAGAACGAACTTTCTTGCACCGAGCTGTGGGTTTGTCAAGGAGGCTGTGCACAATAAGTACATTATCGATATTGCTCAGAACAGAGTAATATGTCACTTATATGTGCAGGATAGGGACATACATGCAGTGACACTATAATTTGTTACATAATTTTCACATTATTAGTGACTGCATGATGCCAAGCGAGAGACGTACTCAAATCAATGTTATGTTGGTTATGGATGGATTATTGTGCTATAAGACTTGATATGCAACTGAGCACAATTAGTGACTGGATGCAACAGAGACGTACTCAATAACATTGATACTATACTACGTCATCAATATCACACTAATATACCATACAGAAACCTCTCGCTCTCTCTCGCTCTCTCTCTCTCTTCTCTCTCTCTCTCTTCTCTCTCTCTGGTGTGTGTTTGCAATATATATATATATATATATTATATATATATATATATATTTAGAGATAAAAGTAAATTTAACCTCAACTCTACTTACAATAGCTTTCACTTGACACCAATAACACGCTAGTATGTAAAACAATGATAAAAACATATCAAATAAGTATCTATATATGGGTGTGTAATTATGACGTCATTATTATTGAATGTGAGTCAGAGATTAATAAATAAATAGTATTTGAATATCATTTCACATTTATTACGCTATTATTTTATACCTTTATTACCATATATTATTGCGCTGTTCAATCAACGGAACGCGTCTATACTCGCATGTTATGCCATAATAATAAAGGGGCGTGGCATTATTATGACGTCATCACGTCGCCCAATAAAAGAAAATTAAATTTAAAGATCGTAGTTCAACTACATACATTAAGAGCTTTCATTTGATACCAATATTGCCATTTATTGTGGTAATCCACAGTAACTGCCTAACTGACACATACATATATGGCAGCCATTTTGAAGAAAGGATGACACGCCCCTTCAGAGGTCAGATTTTTTTGGGGTCCACCCCTAAATAAGTTTGTAATAGGTCAAAGAGCATAATGTGCAAAGTTTTGGTGCTTTCTCAAAAAGTGACACTTTTATGTGCTAAAGAAGCCTGTACTATAGTATTGCCGAAAATTACCTGTAAATGCCGTCAAATGCTTCTCTGCAAACACACAGGTACACCGCACGCATGGCGCACACCACTACACATTTACGCTTATATACATATATATGCCGGCATCCAATAGGCAGCTGTTTAGTGGGGGTGTGATTTCTCTTGCACGTGTAGGATACTCTACATAAAATAGCACCGAGGCAACATGTGAACAGAATTCACCAAGCCTGGCTTTACAATTACAGTGGTCTGACATGATGCCCGTCCCATATTCTCTCATCGTGACCCATGCACAGATAGAGAGATGGTATAATCAGAGACTGGTAGTGCATAACACGTGCTCGGATAACGTAGCTTGGACTCTCACTGTTCACATGATAAGTGTAGACTAATACACCCAACCGCAGAACAGTCGATCGTGGGCATCCAGGCTTTTGCGGTTCTGAAAGTCCTTAATTGAGAGTATGAAATGATCTCGGCTAGAATGTTAGGTAGT